TATCTCGTCGGTGTTTTCGATAATAAAATAACTGGATGAAGTAAAATAACCGTATGAATTAAATAATTCGTGTAATTATCTTCGATCCAATCAAACGGCCGGTAATGTCGACATTCTTCAATTACCTCCGGGCCCCGTGGGCCAACTTGATGGTCACAAAAGTTTACCCAGGGCTGACGGTCTTTAATAGTAGGTTTGTTCGCGTTGCTTGTAATTCCAAAGAAGTTCCAGTAAGAAATAATGGTGTATGGGCGACTAATGCCCAACCAGCCATAAAAGAAGAAGAAGAAGATCCAAAGAAGTTCTGCACTGAAAACGAGATAAATATATATTCGGATCTTGAAGAAAGAGAAAGCGAAGATACTGAATGCAAAAAGTTCAAGCAACGCGAACAAACCCAGTATCTCGTCGGTGCAATTGTCCACTTTGGAGCTACTTTTGTCGACTATCGTGTGATTCATATGTTCGCGCGACTCGCGAACGTTGGCGGAGTCGTGCGCGGAAAGTCACGTGTAATATCGCGCGTAGGATTCGGACATAACCTAGTCTCGTTGAACCTCGAACCGATTTTGTCAGCGTCGAGAAATTTTCCTCCGTAGGATATTACGAGTTCGCCGTAAGAAGCGAGGAAAAATACCGTCTATCAAACGTCAACTGTGGAGAGAAAATCGTCGTTCGAAAAGTTGCTAATCTCGCACGGTATCGAGAATATATGTATATGTATATATATATATATATATATATATATTATTTAATATATATATTATCCCTATACAATGATTTTTATGTAGATGTAATAGGACGTTCCACATTTTCTACTATTGTAGTTGTACTTTGCACTTTAATCTAAAAAAATATCAAGTTTTGCAAAATAATTATTTTAGGTTTAGAAACGAAAAAAAGGAGAAAAAAAGTTGCTAAAAAATCATCATATTTCTCAGTTGCCCATTCATGTACTAACACATTTGTGATAGTGTGACTTGTATGCACATATGATATAATATATTGGACAAACAATTATAACATTCAATGCTTCAAAGCTACCTAATAATTGTGTCGGATGGTACAATGACAATCGACGAGAACACGTAATGCGTCATTAAAACATTGTGTGTTAATAATGTAATTAATTTCTTGATTTTATTTTCTTTTATTAAGTAAGCTTTTTTATGATTTATTTTCGCTCAAACAATCGAACAAGAAGCAAAAATATTTATTTTTAGTTATAACGACCGTCTTTTCATTACAAAACATTTTTGAAAATGCGAGTAGAGTATGTTTCCTAATCGTTATTACAGTTGGATTTAAAAGTAACTTTCAGTTATGATGATTATATCTTTCCATGTAAAATATTTTGGAAAATGCAATAGTTTTGTTTTCCCATTGCTGTTCCAATTAAATATAGAAGCAGTTTATAATAACTTATTTCTCGTGCAAAATGCGTTGAAGTATATTTTCTTTAGTTGTTATTAAAAATGAATTGAGAAGGGAAAATTTATTCAATTTGCAACGTTTCAAGTATAATTTTGTATGAAAAGTGCGCGCAAATGTCCATCATGATATATAAATATAAAGTGTAAGATATTGGAATTGGAGTATTTTTGTCTTCGTTGCGTATAAAACATCAAGTATATTATTGATGTATTTATAAATTATGATTTGAAGAATTAGATTTATGTATATATCGAATACATAGTATAAAGAATGTTTATATCAAAAGGGACGAGTCTATTATTTAACAGAAACTATATCACCAAGGAAACTAGACTTTTTGATTTAAAGACTTCTATCTTTCTTTTTAATTGATATCACTTGGAATTCTCAAAATGTTTTTTCATGTTTATGTGTATGTACTCCATATAAAAAATGTATCTAATCTTTCATCGGTAAAGTGCACAAAGACTATCATTTTTCTAGTGTAATGCTGTAACGTCACATTTTTCGAACCAAAAATTGTATTTGCACTCCTGTAATTAGGAATCATTGCTTTTATTTATTAATCAAGTATATCAATATGGTAGAGACAAGCAAAATAAATATTCGATCAAATATTCACATTTTATCAAAATTCATCGTGCATAATTGATTGTAAGTTTCAATTTCATCAAAAACGCAAATTTGTTATAAACGCTGTAAATTTTAATCATACAAAATATTGATTCCATGATTTTTGTTGAAATGTTTATCATAAACATTTATTATTTAGCGCGCGCGCTTATATTTCTTATTCTCTATTGTATATGTATATTATGTTGATATTAATGGAAAGCAGATTGCTTTGATTGCATTGTATAAACTTTTGTCTATGCTTTGTGCATTGAATGTTTAAATATGTAAAAAAATTTTCTGATCCTTGTTTTTATTTGCAAAATCCGAATTATAATCTCATGATAGATTGCCAAAATTGTCGTATACCTAATAAATTTCTCGCTAATAATAGAAAATGCGGAACATCTTTTTCTTTGCACATAATATATGTATATCTGTTTAATATATACTTTCTTTCGTAAACACACATTAACGGATTATGATAAATAGAAATTAGCAACCATATTGTATACGTTATATTACGATAATGGTATATTGATAAGAATGTTTTCATTGTGAATTGAAAGAGTTCGAAAACGATTTTGAAATTGAATTCGGAATTAAATTTCAACTTTTTACAAGAATAGTATAATCGAGAAAATTATATTTTTCCGATTAATGTATATTGCAACTTTAGAATATTCAGATTTTTATCTTTCAGAAAGGCAAATTGCAATATATACAGTTGTGTAACTTTATATTGCAATAGATATTTTAGTATCTCATGATACTTTTATAAATGAAAATTTAAAACGCGTTAAAATGTATAACGCTTATTATTAATCAGACGAACGTGCTTTTTTGTCGCTTTTTTTAAAGATGTCATTTTACAATCATAACTAACACATTGTTAAGAAAAGAACTTTCATTGAACATATTTATGATATATACGGAATGAAATTAAAAATTAATCGACTGAAACATAACATGTACGCAATAGTGCAGTATAATAATATGCAATGCTAAATGTATAGAAACTGTCGTTTATAGCCATAAATTTTATCACCGAGAAAGCATATGACTGGGTGTAAAGTTTGTATATTACTTAAAGTTGTAGAAGAATAATTAACCAAGTGTTCATTATATTTGTATAACTAATAAGGGATATAACATATATAATATATATANATCTTCTGTAATATATATATGTAAATATGCGCGGTATCGATTATGTGTATTAAGAATAATAATAATTTCCGCGATTAAAATGTTCTGCTATTTAGCTGTTCGATATGTATTCTCTATTATACATATACATACCTTGAAATTTTCTAAATCAGTCGCCAATACACACACACATACACACACACACACAACCAGATTGTGACGTCAGCAGTGAGAAATTGAATTTTTCTCTTATGGTACATACATGTCGAAAGAAGAGTTTTTTTAAACTTTATTCATCTGTTTGATATTATAAGTGTGAAACAAACTATGCAAAATCCTCTTTCCGTATATAAATTTTATCTAACAATTTCTGCGTTCTCTGCATTCTATATACTCCATAATCAACTTTGTTTTAACTGATTTTTAATGATTACTAATTACTCGAAACTGCAGCTAACAATTATTTAAATCGCTAAATATACTTTTCAATGAGCCATAAAATCTTTCTGCAGACAATTCCTTTATTAATATCAGTGATACAAATTTTAAAAGTAAAATCTATATCACATTCGATACTATCGTTTTGCCTTCTGACATCATGATCTGATATTTCAACGGTGATGCGAAATCTTAATGATTGTTAATTTAGAACACCTACAGCGGACGTGGATATGCCTGTGTGTGCTCCTCTTTTATGCTTTTACGATTATATTTTTGCAGCGATTGATAAGATTTTGGAAAATAATTTTTACATATATACGTATAGGATTTTCTATTATTTCTTTTCATAGGTATGTACTTAAATGGAATCCGTGTACGGAATTTTGTAAGAATGTAAGTGCGATAGACAAAGGATGATTACACGCGTTGTCGGAGATTGTGTGTGAATTATTTCTTTTTTTGATGAAAAATGGCTCAATCTCAGTTTTCCTCGTACATTGTAATTTTAACATTGTTGTGTCGATTATATTGTATAACAATTGTTTTCTATTCTATGCAATAAAATATATTATCGTAATTAATATCGCATTTGCGCGTCATTTTCTTCTTTTACCTAACAATAAATCGATTCTAGATTCTATTAAAGTACAACTTAAAAATATTTAGGGAAATATTTTAATTTACCAGATACTTGCCCATTATTGAAATCGAATGTACGTGTCATCTTTCTTCGATTGTTCTTAAAACTAGGAGCTAATATACGCACAACAATTTGATAACCTGTGTGTATCAAGATTATCTTTATTAACTTATTTACAGATACACCAGCAAAACTCAATAAGTACCTGTTGCTGCAAACGTCTCTGGTGCCAGTTATAAGTTGACATTTTCGAAGCCCGATCGGATTTTCACGTTTGTCTATTTTCAGACATGACAATTCCGTTTTCTAATATAGGAAAACAAATTCGTACGCTTTAATTAAATGAAAAAACTCACATACTTTTTCTCTTTCCAGATATAATATAATAGCTAAAAAGCATCGTAAAAATGTCTACGTGCCTTAAAAAAGCCGTCGATTCACGTTGTTCATGTCAGTAGCTAGTGGCTGTTACGCAAAGAGAATGCGATCAAGAGAGCGAGACCAGAAGCGAGACGCAAGAGTTTGACAGGTGGATTGTACTACTTGTATAGGAAACCGTAATTTTCTCATTAGGTTAGTAAATGCCTTCCCCAGTGTTAACGCAAATAGAGTATATCGTCTATTATTTCCGAACGCGAATGCTATATCCGCGTGCAAGCCTATAGTGAGAGACGCACTCGGACAATAAGCAATCT